GTGGCCATCAATGTTCTTCCTAACGATCAAATTCGCATATCGCAGTGCCACGGTTTAGTAAACCAATTCCAAAGCAATTTTTGGCGGTAAAGTTTTTGATCAACTATTGGGGTTGCTTGGTGTGCTTGTGAAGTTGTATGGGTCAGAGATCGAGGTGGGAGGAGGAGAGGTTTCTCGTCAGCGGTATTGTGCCTTCTTCTGGGATGGAATGTCCGTGAAGTCGTGTTTTAGTTGATGTCCTTGTCAAATTTGACGATCGCTCCATCACACCATTTTCGCTGTGAAACCGAATGCCTATTGGAAATAATCGGACTTCTGGTTATGCATTTTTTTTTTTTTGAAATAAAATAAACAGCTTGAAGCAATAATTGGCATTTCTGAATGATCCGCTAGTATTAAAGCTGAAGATCACACAAGCAAAAATATTGAATTGGTTTGTCATCATTATTACCCATTTTTTTTGATTATACTTTCGTTGTCATTATTGTCCTCTGAGTTGACATGTGTCGGTTCATAGTTCGTATGTTATCAATTGCTTATGGAAAATAGTACATTTCAAAATAGATTTGAAATTTATTTTATTTTATATACTAACCTTTTTCTGTCTAGACGCTGATATTAAGTCTTCTGCAGATCAGTTATACATTGGGACACGTAATTTATTTTTCGCTTTGTGCTTTTTCAATTCTCTTTTCGTGTAGAAAGGTGATTTGTTCATGTACTGCGTTAGAAGGTTCAAAGTTTCATTCATTCTTTCACTCAGAAAGATTGGAAAGTGACTTTTCGTTGAGAGATGCATTTTTTTGGAAGTACTTAATAAAAAGATTTTTACCCTAGGAACGAAGCAAATTCACTTCTCACATTCTCTGTTTCTAAGCTGAATTACTGAATCAGTTTTCTGCCAAGTTCAATGAGTGCCTCACCTCGTGACTTCTATTATTCGAACAAATATAATGATGATAAATATGAATACAGGTTTGTGTTATGATTTAATGTTACAAGTTTGGATAAGAATAGTTTGAAGTTTGAAGTCAGAGGAGTTTTATCAATATTGGGCGATAGTGTGATGTCATGGTAATTATTCTGAATCCTATGAACAATATCTATCGAAATAATCAAAAAGACAGAGATGAAATTGATTATCAATTAATGAGATTGTGCAAACTTTTAAAATTCATTGAAAGCTGTTTTAATCGTTTCAGTTTTTTTAGTAGTGAACTAGATGACTTAATAAAGTGACATATTTTTATTTTCAGACACGTACACGTACCCAAGGATTTAGTCCGACTTATACCAAAAGATCGATTGATGAGTGAAAAAGAGTGGCGATCACTTGGAATACAACAGAGTCAAGGATGGGTTCATTACATGATCCATAGTCCGGAGCGACATGTATGCTATTTTTTTTTGCTTGAGTAAAATTCATATCCTAAATCTTTGTTGCAATATAATTAGAGTTTTATATTTGAATACTTCTACAAAATTAGTCTGCAGCCTTTAGTGTAGCGCTTCCTTTCTTGTTAGTCCAAAAATTATACGCTTTCTCACATCACGGAGTCTATTTATATCAGGAATATTGATTGCAGTCTAAAAAACAGTAGATGTTCACCCGTTTGTTTTTTCGCAACCGCAATTTTTTTGTGCAGTTTACCACAAAAAGTCGTACTTTGAAGCTCTATCTTTTATCTATTTTCGATGTTGTAGTGCATAAAGCTATAAATCAATCAGACTAACACAGAACAAAATGTTGATATCCATTCATTTTTTTAAAGCGTGGATACTGTTTAGTCATGAAGAACTGAATCCTTTTTGCTGACTTTCAGTGCGTCTTACTGATATTGATTTGCAGAGAGTGCTTCTTAGATCTAAGGGTTTCGTTGTACTTAGAAAGATGCAATAGCAGTAGACCTGTGAGACAAATTGTGAGATGATCATTTTTGGTGTGAATTTTTAAAAACTGCATTAGAACTTCTTCCAGCAAACTAGGATAACTAAGATGTTGTCATATACAATCTACTTTTTGGTACAAGTTACAATTTTACGAAAATCAATTCAAACTATGCTTACTTTTTTGCTTTTTCAGTTTATTTCAAATGCCAGAATAAGGTCATAACTGACTTTGCATTTCACAAGTTTTTTAGTTGCGAAAAATTTATTTCGATAATTGCTTCCAATAAGTCATTATCGATTTGCTATAATTGGCTACTACACTGTATATCTTCAAGACTCTCATTCCCTTTAAATTTCTCAAATTGTGATGCATTTTTCGTTCTTTGACAATTCATGAGCACATGCACTATTGGCAAAAGACATACGGTATGAAGTAATCCTACAAGTTTTTCTTAAGTATTTTTATAAAATTTAATGTCAATTTTTTAGATTCTTTTGTTCCGTCGTCCTTTAAAAGATGTTATCATATGTGACGGAAGCAATGGCAACGAATGAACTGAAATGTGTAGAACATCAATCTTTTGTGCTGAAATGTTTTTCTCATGGACGGGAACTTTATTTATTTGATTAGTCATTGGTTGCTTCTGTTGTTTGCTATTCCTGAAATGCTCTGTTTCCTGATATCATGCTCTTCAATCAGCTATTTTTTTATCAGATACGTTTTTGTATGTAGCTACAATAAATCGAATACATTTTATATGTAGCTGCAATAAAAAAATACTGTATGTTTCATATTTTTTAATTTCTTACCTTCTACTCTCTGATTCATTCTTCATCAATTTCGTAATTTTTGTAGAAAATGGATCTTTAACATATTTATACTATTTTCAGCAGTAATACGTTACGCTTACTGTTTTATTATCTTATAGATCAACAGATCTATGTTACTTTTTGTTATTTTCTTACTGTTCGATAGCTTCATAAGCCTCTGTGTATCGTTTTTATTTTGTACAGTGTTCGCGCCGCTACCTCCTGGCGAGTATATATTCGTTAATTTTGCAGAAGTACCCTGCTATAAAGTTTTCTATAATTCATCACGTTGTATAATTTTTTACACTTAGGAAGCAAAGTTCTGGGCCTAATTGGTTATAGAGTTGAAGTGTGCAAAGAATGGTAATAATAAGATCCCAATAGAAATCTATGGATTCTAAAGTCGTTGTTGCGTGAATTCGTTGCCTAAATAGACTTGGAATTTCAAAATCTTGTCCTCCAATAACATTCAAATCTCCAAATTTTCCGAAGTCTCGTCTTCAAGTTCAATAATATTTGAATCTTCTTTCAGAACAGTTATGATCGTATGTAATTCGAACAAAACTGCACATTTAGTTATCTCTTACGCGCTATCCATATTTTTCTGAAGAATTTGACTTTTAAGATATTTCTCGGTTCTTAGACTGTTGGCAAAATCGCGGCTTCTTGTAATACTTCAACATTCCTAGTATCACGTGATGGCAGTTATTAATCGTTTAAGCACAATTTATTTTGCAGGAATACATAATATTTTATGAGTTTCATGTAAAATAAAATGTTTTTTATAAAATATTTTTTGAATTAAAGAAAGAAAAATAACGAAGTTGATCCTTCCGATAGCGGATGATCGTTTTCATTTCTTTCTGATTTCAGGAAAGAACACTGTTCATGAGTGTAATGATTGCCAAATTCTCTTTGCTGACTGTTGTCAACCTCGATTAATCACTCGAATTCTAGTTCTAGGTGTTTTCAGAATATAAAAGTCGATGAAATGTTTCACTGTTGCAGTTTAATGCATTCACTTAATTAATACTTTTCTGGTTTTATATTTGCTTCTCTTGTTTTCATCTTTCAACTCGTCATTATCCTATTTTTTGCTGTAAACTTTTTTTTTGCTATATTCCTTTTTTTAGCTTGCTGCAAATAATATCCATGAAAAAATTGTTTAAACATCTTGCTTTGTCTGCTATACATTATGTATAATTAACGATTTCATGAATTGTAACGTTCTTCCATCAAAAAAGTTGATGAAATAAGAAATTTCTCATTTGTCAATCGCTGAGGATTGCAGAAAAATGTATGGTCCAATTATTAAAAGGAAATTTGAGTCTTTCCGGATAAGTTAATGTGTGAATATTTTCATACATTTGTTAATTATCTGAGGCGACTAATTTAGAATGCACAATTATCTAGCATATTTTAAAATTTTACTTACATTCTATTCAATTTATCAATTCAATCTTTGACCTTTTTAATAAGTTGGTGCAGAAAAATAAATGAAGATTAATCTGACTGTTATTCAAGTTATATCCTAATTAGTTAAGTGCGTTTTAGTATTAATATAATTTGTTCAGAGGAGATATCCTGCATTATTTACTTTTCTCCGCAAAAAAATAGCATTGAAATTTTCAAAAAGCCGTCTTCCTTCGATTTCTTCAGCATTCCACGATGGAATCACCATCTGATAATTTAAATGCCTTTCATTATTAATTTCGAGAAAATGATTGCTTCTATAGAAGATAAATATTTGAGGCAATAAAAAAGTTATACAACTTCTGATAATATTGTTCTAGCTGGCGAATGAAGCGGTGAAAACAGTGAATTTTAATCTGCTGTAGAGAAGAATTGAAGAATAAATAAATGAAAGTTTAAATTGAATTTCCACTCAATTATATTCATAAAAATTAATCATAAATTGATAAATTTGTTGGAATAATTATACTGCCTGCATAACCACGGATTTTAACAATGATGGTCAGCAAGACACATTGCAATGTGAAAA